AGCAGTGAAGTGTGTAAATTATTCTTTTTCTTCTACCACTTCTTCTTTCTTTGCATTTTTCTCAAAGATTGGCATTGTCATAATTTGTGTGGCATTTTTAATCCCTCGCTTCCTCTGAATCTTTGCACCATTCATCGTCTACTCTAAACATCCATCCATCAGATTTCTGAGCCTCGTATCCACATCGGGGTGGGAAGAGACCTGGAGCTTATCGCTGCTATTATTAGGAAAGTGGGGGGTTACACCTTGAACAAATCACCAGTTCATTGCAAGGCTAATACAGGGAGGCAGCTGCTCACATCCACACCACGAGCCAACTTGAATTCATTCATTTCCCTAACAGTCTCCTGTGCTGGGAAGAAAATGGAGCAGGCACTGGTAGAAAATGCAAAGTCCATAACAAAGGATGACGAGGAGGTTTGAACCTAGAACTTTGCTGGTAAAACAAAGTTCTAGGTCCCCCCCTGTTTTTTCCCAAAATGAGGTCTCAACAAAAATCGACGACAACAACTCACTGAATGCATCTGTACAGATTCAAATTAGACAATATCTATATATCGATAACTAAAATCTAGCAATGGTTAAATGGGGGAAGGTTGAGGGCGGTACAGCGCTGTCAAGAAGATCCTGCGTTCAAATTCAGATCCTTCTGTGTGCAGTGTGCAAGTTCTCCACAGGTCTGGACACCCTGGCCAAAGACATCCATATTAGGTTAATTGGTGATTCTAAACTGGCCTTAGGTGTGAATGTGAGCGTGACAGATTGTAACACGGATGGCCTGTGTTGGCCCTGCGATAGACTGGCGACCTGTCTAAGTGTACCTGACAGCTGAGATAAGCTTCTGAATTAAATAAACAGAAGAAGATGGATGGATTATTAAATAATAATTAAAACTCAGTACATCTGTTCATCACACTGCCACCTGGTGTCAGCTCACAAATCTACACCTCTCTTTATGAGAGTATTTTCCATGTCGCAACAAAAGAATTTGACAATATGCACAAAGTACGTTTAAAATTTGATTATTTCTGACTGTCATGAGCCTTTTAATGACGACAGCTTGGACACTGATCATATCCACTTTATTTCTTCTACATTGAACATCACAGCAATCTGTTACATCTGACTATGTAATGTCTGATATTTGTTCATTTCTACATATAGAATGTTTTTTGTTGCAAGATTTAAAAATCTAGCTGATATATTTTTGCTCATTCTTGGATGTGTGATACAGAATATTTTTTAGCAGGATTTAATTATGTATCTTACCCTGAGACACGCTGCTTAAAATTCTAACCCAGTGATTAGGTAGTAAAACTGGATCTGTGTCCTCTTGAGTCCCAGGCTGGAGTTCAGTCTCCTCATTAGCATATAAACGCCTGAGAGAAAATCTGCAAGTACTTCACATTAAGTTTGCAAAGTTCTCTCTCTCTCTCTCTCTTGTTTGCCTTTGGCTGATCTCTTGAAAACTTCTCACTTGAGATGGCTTACGTTTTCTAGCAGATTGAATGTCTGCAAAATCTATTCGTGCACATGCTCAGCTGGTCTTATGCTGCCCTCTTGTGGTTAGATTCTGAATGGCTACAGCAAGTTGGTCTTTTTCACAG